TACTGCTGCTATGCCTTAATTCCATCCTGCTAGCTAGCCCCCTTCGCCGCAAGATGCATTACCAACCTTCCTACCAAACCATCCAACCTAAGAAACCACTACGACCAGCACCAGTTTGAAATTCAAACCGGGGTTATGTAACATATTGGAGGTAAACCAAAAATATTTTCCAGATGATATGTAGAACACTCATCGAGTACAACAATGAAAATTCAAGGTTTCAATGACGAATCCAACGATTATAATGACTTGATAGCCAATTCAAGCACAATTAAAACTACGATTCTATAGATCTGTAAATCTCTCAGAAAAAGCAATTCATGCAATCAAAATTTAAAACTAGGTTAGAGTCGCTATTGAGAATCAAAGTTCTAGATATCAGAGCTCGAATTCTGATTTATGGATAGCACTATCAAGAAACTGAACCAAGGATTTCAAAGTAAGAAATAAGTTGGGAAAAAAAATTGACCCATATTTTAAAAATTGTGGGAATTTGTAGGAAATTAATTTCAAGTCGTACTTAGAAATTTTATAACAGAATCAAAATTATTTCAAAACAGAAGGGAGTACTTCATGAATCTTTACTAGTCAAACTATGAGTTAGAAGAAAGCCATCAGTTAAGACCTATTTTTCGATAAGGACGGCACCAAGTAAAATCACATCACTCCCCCCCGTAGCCGAGCAACCCACCCCTCACCCATTCTCCATTGCTTTACCCGCCCCCCACCAATCCCGTTTTCCTTCCAATTCCCTCCACGAGCCTAAACCGCCACGCCTTTTTGTGAGGAGAGACCTTAATCCCTCAAGGGCAGAAAGCAATCGACCCAAGCCCCCACTTACCAAATCCTTGCAGGGCTCTTTGTGACACGACATCGCCGAACCTGCCAGCAATCTATCACAGAAGATCCTATTTGAAGTGAAAATCGGAAGGCACTTCCAACAAACACAAGCAAAGCAATCAAGAAAAGGAGTAAAAAGACAACTAAAAGGGAGGAGATGCAAAGAGGCGAAGTGAAGAGAAGAAAGGAACAGCTAACCTCCTCTCCTTTCCTTCTCTCCAAGTTGTATCTTTCTATTTTTCCTTTAATTCACAACCTCCCCCTCTCTCCATCCACTCACGACGTCAGCCAGCTAATTTTGTTGTTGATCTAAGGACCCCCCAATCTCCGTGCTCCCTCCTACTATCTTTTTCTCCCCCACCCTACACAAAAAAACCTTCGCTCCAACTATGGATGGCACAACCAACTCTACAGCACAATCGGGTTAAGAGAAGCGGACGAAGATGGCTTCCTCCACGATACTCCTTCCATTTGCCTCCCATAAAAGCTTTAACAACACAGTGCCACTTCAATAAAACGAGTGGGATAAATCTAAAAAAGCAACATCAACATACCTCAACCCGCTCGCTGCTGCTCCCTGTCATCACGCGCCTCGCACTTTCGCCCGCCGCTTCACCTGATTACTCCCACACCGTACTGACGAGTCGCGAGCCCAACGAGGCGCCACCACCCACCCCTACCCCCTGCCCCGTCATCCTCCATCACACCCTGTCACCCGAAATGTTTAAGATATAGAATCCCAAAATGTCGAAGTTACAAGATCTCGAAATGTCGCTGGCGTCAGATCTCCAATTAGTCCTCCCAACGCCCAACTCTGATATAGTCTCAGTTCGTATGTCACCGATATCCCACCACCGATCTCTGTCCCATAGTAACCTAGAAGGTAGAGGGATTGAAGAAGATGATGATGAGGAGAAGAAGAAGAAGAAGGAGAAGAAGAAGAAGACTGAGAGGGGCAGAGGAGAGGTGGAGATGGAGATGTGGGGCAGAGGATGATCCCCCTGCCCGGAGCCAGTGCTCAGGCACCAACGTGCAAATGCAAGGTGCCGCCTTGGAGCCGCTGGAGACCTCCCTTCGACGCTGGAGCTACGGTGCTCACAGGTAAGTGCCTGGTAAGTCGCTACTCTCTCTCTCTCACCTCTACAGCTGGCGCTAAACCCCGTGTTGCTGCCTGGAGCTGCGCTAACCAAAATAGTGCAGTGTTGCTCCTCAATGCCACTCCTTCGAGTCTGTCCTGAACAGACCGCTGGTTGGTCCTGGCCTGTTTGGCCTGGCTGTTGGTGAATCCGCGCCGTGATCTGGACCGTTCCAGTCGATCGACGGTTCAGATCAGACCCGCGGGAAGTGGCAGCCTCAATCCTCGGCCGCCAGGCTCAAACGAAAAACGTTTGGGCCGGTTTCCCACTCAGGGCTTGTAGTTTCAGGCCCGGGTCTAAAACCGGTTTGCTGGGGCCTACCGTCGGCCTTCCCAAAGGTCTGGCCTTTAACCCAGGTCGGACTGGCCCGACATGGCCACGGTCTGGGATAACCCCCTAGACCTAGTCGTTGGGTCTAACAGGGCCCGTGTGGAATCCAATATGTAACACTGACGAACTGGCATCAAAGTAACCGGTCATTGGAACGAACTCACTCGATCAAGGTCTTGATTGGAGACTGTCGCCAGTCAACCTGTTGACCGATATACAAAGGGTCTGGCTAACTCACTGTCGGTCAGCGCCCGGACTGAAACTTCGCCCCAACTTCCAATCAACCCCGCATGTGATTCGCCGCTCAATTGTCTGCTGCAAATTGATATTCCCCCAAGTGGGATCTGCAAAACCGGTGGACAACCACTTGAAGGCAGCGCCTGCCACTTGAGGGTTGTGAAACCCGCATGTAAACTGGTGGTGCTAATTAGGGTTGACACCCTAATACCGCTGAGGGTCAGCTCAATCCGGAAGACTGCCCCACTTTTTTTTTTAACTCGCTTTCTCACCGATGCGCACCAATCAATCAACAGTTGTTGCCGCGCACGTCGTTGAAAACTACTGGCGCTACCCCTAACCGCCAACTGCCAGCCCGACAGATGTCGACCAACAAATTAGTCCCCTAGATGCACGCGGCCGTGGCTTCGATACCAGTTGTTACATGCCTGATTGAAACGAGATCCAACATGGCATCTACACGTTCTCACACACATATGCAATGACAAGTGACCTTTGGAGGGAGCAATCCACACCACACCGGATTATGAGAATACACAGCGGAAGCACACAAATACGGAAAATAGAATTGAAATGAAAATCAATTTTAATTACCGTCTCTCCCCAAGTCAATCAACAACACGAATTTCCAAGGATCCCGACCATGTTATCAACACCCACGGACCAATTATTTCACAAACGGTTATCGGGTAGCTGAAAATTCAGGAATGAAAATTTTGAAGTGAGAGTTTTTGGCAGTTTGAAAATCCTGAATGGTCCTGAAGTGGTGAAAGGTCCGAAGACCCTGAAAACCACCTGTTTAGGCAGGCTGCATCCTAAAGTGGTGAAGGGTGTCCTGAAGTGGTCAAGTGAAAGTTTTGGACAGTCTGAAAATCCTCAATGGTCCTGAAGTGGTCCGAAGACCATGAAAACCACCCTTCACCACTTGAGGATGCAGCCTACCTAAACAGGTGATTTTCAGGGTCTTCGAAGCTTTCACCACTTCAGGACCATTCAGGATTTTCAGACCTGAATGGTCCTGAAGTGGTGAAAGGTCCAAAGACCCTGAAAACCACTTGCTTAGGCAGGCTGCATCCTCAAGTGGTGAATGGTGTCCTGAAAGTGGTGATGAAAAATACGACTGTTGTTAACCTTCTCTCAATTATTTACAAGGTTTCATGGAAGTATCCAGGAGTCTTCTTCTTCCTCCCTCTTCCTCAACCTCCAGCTATGGTGCTTGCAAGCACCCAACCTATCAAGCCTGCCAATTGCCACACAACCTCCTAAATCCAACACCCCTCTCTGCACCACTCAAGAAGCCCACTGCAGATGAAGTGTCCACTCAGGAGGGGAGCGGAGCTCCCAGGAAGACGAAGAAGAGAAGCAACTCGATGAAGATGAAGATCTGCCACGTCGAAGAAGAGCCACTGAAAGTGCAGCTTCGGTGGCAGCTGATGAAACCCCAACAACGCTCATCAGCACTTGGGCGCCGAGCCCAGAGCTGTCACCAATGGAGGTGGCCGGCCCCAGCTATGGCCGCCAGCGACATGTGAAGAAGAGGCCCTGCATACATGTCCACAATAGCGCAGCAGGGAAGCGGCGCGACCTCCACCAAGACTGTGAAAAAAACAGCAACGAGAGAACCCCAAATTCTTTGGCCTCTGCCTACTTCTACCCGACTTCCCTAGATCTACAACACAGCAGCCACCTACAGACCTATCTGACTGTCCAAACAGCAAACATCTACGGCCAAACAATCAAGATCTACCTACATGCATCTAACTGGAAACCTAGACTAAGGGGGACCCAAGGCTAGGACACACAAAAGAAAGACCTACGAGCCTGCCAGTTTCCAGAAGCAAGGCTGGAAGGCCTAAGGCTATGAAGTAGAGACTACTAGCTACAGGTGCAAGGTTCAAGCCCAATAAGGCTCAAAAACAGTTAAACACCACAAACACACTACAGGTCATGGGATCAAGTCCCGGCTGCTTCAGCAACTGCAGAAAACGACAAAACAGCAAAGCCTAAGGGTCTAAGACTGCCAAGTAGAGACTCCTAGCTACAGGTCTGAGGATCAAGCCTAGTAGGGCTCAAAGCTAACAAACCAAACGTACAAATTACAGGTCACGGGATCAAGTCCCGCAAGGTCCAAACCAAGGAAACAGCAAACACAGTTAGTGTACAGTCCCACTGGGATACTGCGATTTATTGCACACACGCACACAAAAAAAAATAAAAAATAAAAAAATAAAGGTTAGCGTGAGTAAAGTCGACCACTTTTCTCAGGGGTATCGTGAACTATGGGGGACATGGTGAGTGCTTATCCATCAGGCAAATGCATCCAGGGAAGACTGTCGGGTTCAACCGCCTAATGAGTCAGGGAAAGTCCGACGAAACAGTGTGGCACAGTCATGCATTTCTTGAGTGTATACACTGTATAGGGAATATGAAAACACACAGAGTCGGACAGAGTCTTACTTGCAGCATATCTGCCATACTCAGACCCCCATCTTCGTCGATTGGATTCCCTCTCATGTTGAGCTGCAGAAGTCCATGAACTTCGTCTTCATCTTCATCTTCCCTCTCAATCCCATTTTGAGGAGCCGGCGCCTTTCGAGAGAGAGCCGTCGCCAGGCAGATTGCACCTTGTGGTCCGATGTCATTCCCTTCGAGGTTCAAGTAGCGAAGAGCTGTGCCGCGCCGCTGAGATAAGCCGACCAGGTGCAGGGAACGAATGACAGGACAACACCCCAACCAGCCACTGCCAAGGTGGAGTGAATTCAGTGTCTTTACAATCCATAATCTATTTCACCTTTTCAATACTAAATGGTAAATAGTAAATAGTAAAATAGTAATTTCTTTCTTTCTTTCTTTCATTATGGAAAATGGAAACAATGTTGTCATTCTGACTCATTCTCAAACTCCTTCCCCTTTTTCTTTTTTTTCTTTTTCTTTTTCAACTTTCCCATAGTTAGAGAAGTCGAGAAGTCGATAGAAGCGAGGAAACACGAGAGAAGTCGAGCTTTTGACACGAAGATGACCACTTAAGTTGAATTGACTCATACATGATTAAATTAATGAAATTAATGAAAGGAATTGAAGGGATCCAAACTTTCGCAAGTCTTTCTCAGGCACACTCACTGTTGGCGGAGGTGATGGGGGAAGAGAGGGGGGAAGAGAGGGGGTTGGTTTGCGGAGGTGAGGGGGGAAGGGGAACATAGTCGAGATGTGTGTGTAATATGTACGGGTTCTAAATTTTAACTGTTTGACAAGGTATTGTGTGAAACAGGTACAGCAAGCCACCCACATTGCGACGACTTGGGGTTGTTTGTTGGGTGTATTAAATGTATTTTTGCGGTACAGAGCAATCAATGCTGGAAGGTTGGTCCTCAGTCCACGGTCCTGACATCTTCTTAAACTCCCTCTTGATTCACTGTGTATAGGGGACGATGGACCCGTTTTCCAGCAGGGGACGCTGGTCCCTTGAATGTTCGAGGTTGCAGTTGGAGATCGGCAGAAGGGGAAGAGCTAGTTTTTTAGCAGCAGACATCTGGCACCTGGTTCACGGCGAAGAGGTTCTTTTCCTTTTCCAAAACTCCTGCTCAGTCAATCCTCTGGATTCCAGAGTAATCAATGCTGGCAGGAGACTCCCGCTCCTTTTTTCCTGACATACTCCAAATCTTTTCTGTATCTGGGATGGTGGACCCGTTTTCCAGCAGGTGATGCTCCCCACCAATAGATGGAGCCTCTCCTCAGGTGCTAGTGGTGTCTGCTCTTACCAGCACCACTAGCACTGGAAGGGAGTTTATTCAAAAAAAAAAAAAAAAAAAAAAGGCTAATTGCACCCAAGTCACCCAGGTTTCTAACAAATAAACTTTAATAAAGCCATTGGCAAGTCATATGAGAGAGCTAATGTTGCTTTAGAAATACAAGGGTGCAGTGTTGACTGGGACTGGGAGATCGGTGTGCATGTTTTTGCAAATTAACACAGCCTAATCACCCAGGTTGGGTGTCAGATCTTGTTGCTTTTAGAGGCACAGACCAGCTAGCAGGGATGGGTATCGTAACTATCGTAATCTTCTCCCCCTTTCCTTTTTTCTTTTTTCTTCTGTTTTTGTGGTGATCATCATCTTAGCCAAATGTGGAAGCAGATATGGTGGCTCTTCAGTTTAAGAAGAGACCAAGAACACCACCATCTCCCTCTCCCCCCCCCCTCTCCCCTTACGTCAATTAATGTGTGGATCACCCCCTTTGTCAATCAATGCCTGCATCACCCATGTAAACGGGCAAACAGCCGGACCCAAAAAGTCCACCAGTCGTCCTCCAAGATATCCATTCAAATTGGAACGACACAGAGAAGATTAGCATGGCCCCTGCGCAAGGATGACACACGTAAATCGAGGAATGGTCCAAATTACTATGTTACCAGGGTCGTTCTGCCCGGCCGGGTGACCCGGGCGAACCTGCACAGGGGGCGACCTACCCGGGTTACCCAGGCAATAACAAAAGGGGGGTCTTTTTTTTTTTTTCCCCTTCTTTGGCAGTGGGGCAATTTTGCGCCCACGGAGATGTGCCCTAATCCAGCCTTATCTTTGAGTTTGGTGATGTCTCATCAAAGGTCCAAAGGGTGTCTATGGGGTATAAGCAGGGTTCGAAAGGGTTCGAAAGGGCTCAAAGGGGCTTAAAGGGGCTTATACGGGGTATGGTATAATTTATTATTTTGTTTTAGTAACTTTAACCTTTTTATGTCAGATTTCATAACTAATTTCATGGTGACCCTCGTCCAAAAGTTGTTCGATTCGCAATTTGCAATTCTGCATGATGTAGTTTTTTTTCAGATTTTTTTCATGTCTTTTTTCTTTTCTTTTTTCGGAAAATTTGTTTGGCGCCCCTGTGTCTTTCATCAATATGCGTCGCGCCCCTCCGACAGCTGATTTATTATGTCGCACCCTTCTGACCAGAAGTCAAATTTTCCGTAAAACCCTGGCGTTGTTTGGGCCTCATACGTTTTCGTAGTGCCCCGACTGGACCCACATCAAATTTGCATCATGCCCCTACCGGATAGCCGTTCAGAAAATCTCCGATATGCCCCTACCGGTACCATCGATCTTTTCAGTGTGCCCCTGTCGCCGTTGGAGACACTCAGGGGAATTTCTCTCTCTCTCTCTCTCTCTCTCTCTCTCTCTCTCTCTCTCTCTCTCTCTCTCTCTC